ATTATAGGTGGAAATCTAAATAAAGTTGTCACTTTTTACCATTTAATTAGCGAATTGTTAGCATATGGATTCATATAAATTACGTACATATACACATATAAATACATTAAACCCCCCTGAATGGCTCCTTCTCCTCCAGGTAGCTCTGTGTTTATAGGTGGAAATCTAAATAAAGTTGTCACTTTTTATCGTTTAATTAGCGACTGTTAGCATATAAATGACGTACATATACACATATAAATACAATAAAACCACACCATGATGGCTTCTTCTATGGTTTCTCCTCGAGGTATATTGGTGTTTATAGGTGGAAATCTAAAGAAAGTTGTCACTTTTTATCATTTAATTAGTGACTGTTAGCATATTGATTCATATCAATTAAGTACATATACACATATAAATACATTAAAACCCCCCTGAATGTCTTCTTCTATGGTTTCTTCTCCTCCAGGTAGCTCAGTGTTTAAGGCCTTCTTCTTCACGCCGACCTTCTCCCCGGAGGACGGGGCCTCCTGCGCGCACACGCACGTGTGCCTGTGCACGCCGGAGAGCGTGACCCCCCACGCCCCCCCGCTGCTCTACGACCTGCGCGGGGACCCGGGCGAGGCCCGCCCGCTGACCCCCCGCTCCCAGCCGGACCTCCACCAGATCCTGGCCAAAATGGCGGCGGCGGTGGAGGCCCACCGGGGGGCGCTGCAGCCCGGGGACAGCCAGATGTCCCCCGCCCGCCTGATGTGGAGGCCCGGGCTGCAGCCCTGCTGTGGAGGCCTGGGCCGGCTCTGCAGGTGCCCAGGTCAGCCATGAGGAACCATGAGGAACCCTGGGGAACCATGAGGCCTCCATATGGACCTTCACATGGACCTCCAATTAGATCCATAGGAGCCCTAAGGAGCCCTGAAGGGGGCCTGAGGCCTCCGCCTGAGCCTCCATATGGACCTCTACCTGGATCTCTACCTGGACCTCCATTTTGGCCTCCACCTGGGCTTAAATCTCAACCTCCACCTAGGCCTCCACCTGGAGGTCCTCCTGTATCTCTACCTGGACCTCCAGCTGTGCCTGGGCCTCCAACTGGATCTCTTCCATGGACCTCCATTTTTGGCCTCCATCTGGACATCTACCTGTACCTGTAGCTGGACCTCCATCTTGACCTCCAGTTGGAACTCCTCCTGGACTTCCACATGGACGTTGTTGGGCATGTTGAGTTGGAGAAACATCTTGAACTTAGAAAGACCCATGTTGAGTTGGAGAAACATCTAGAACTGGGCCCTGAGGAGCCCCGAGGGGGCCTGAGGCCTCCAGCTGGGCCTCCAGTTTGAGATCCGCCTGGGCCTCCACATGGACCTCTACCTAGACCTCCACCTGGACCTCTACCAAGACATTCACCTGGACCTCCAATTGGACCTCCGGCTGGACCTCCACCTGGACCTCTACCTGGACCTCTATCTAGACCTTCATTTTGGCCTCCACATGGGCCTCAATATGGACCTCCAGTTCAGACCTGAAGGGGGTCTGAGGGGGGCCTGAGGCCTCCAACTGGACCTACATATGGACCTCTACCTGGATCTCTACTTGGACTTCCACTTGAAGCTCCTCCTGG